GTCCCGTTTCTGCACTCGTTCAGACAAGCAGAAGCAATTCTTCTTCTTTCGTTTTCGAAAGCTATCACCCAAAGAAGTTGTGCTAGGAGTCAGCATAATGAAAAGTTGTATTCCTAAAAGATTTTAGTATTATCAATGGTGATTGTTCTTTTTTAGGATAAAAAAACAAGCGCGACGATGAAAGATGAATTAACGGATATTCTGGCAAAATTAGAGGGTTTCAATGATGGTGACATGCATGAAGTGATCACTAAGGTGCGCACTTTACTCATTATTTATGAAATTCTGAAAATTTTTTCGTTCAGATTATTTTTTATTGAGAGTTATATTTACATCGATGGGCATTTACAATTCGAGGAGCGCACTATGGAAATAAAAAGGTATTTTGAAACGGGAAGGAGGGTGGGAAGGATCGCGAAAGTAGATGTAAAAATTTCTGCGATAACTTGCTCTTGACCACTGTTGCAATGCGCAATTTTCATCTAATCTCTTGTTTTTCTGTGTCAGCTTTATCTCCCAGCGAGGTGAGGAATGCAGTACCCACAGTGACAAATCCTGGGAAGAGTTTAGGACTGGGCAAAACTTTCGTGGAAGAATCCGAGCTGCTGGCACAGAAAGAATTCAAAAGACATTCAGCGACCGGTTTAGCAGTTACTCATAATAAAGGAGATATCGGGAAGAGGCCTGGTGGAGTGCTGTTACCGATGAAAGGAGGCCGTAGAAATTTTGCGGTTATTGCCAGATATGAAGAAGATTTTATGCGTTTTAATTCATGCCCGATGGATGTTGATGTAAAACTAAGAAGGAAGCCCGATTGCTTTCTACTTTTCGACCACATTTTCGCATTAACGTATTTGAAGGAAAAGTGCCGAGGAATGAAAATTCCTTTATTTTGCAGTACTTCAGCTTCAACTAGGCTTTCGGCTCTGTGCAATATTTAAAGATGTTCCAAATTATGAAATCGATCCATCTTCATAAATTCAGTTTTTTGTAGAGGACTTTTCTGTCACAAAAACCACCTTTGATGATTTCTTGACAGCGGAGCAACACTCATTTCCTGGAAGCATTTACCGGCCTTGAAAGGATATTGCAGAAGTTCAAATAACAGAGGGATTTCGTATCGCTGATGAAATGTCGAAATGCAGACGGCATTATGCTCGTCGCGAATTTACGTATGTACTGCAGGATCTGTTCGGCGAACTTACAGCCAGTCTGGTGAAAAATGAACTGCAAATCCACGGAAAGAAAACGGAGCGGATGAAAAATATGTGTTCTTCTGGTTGGGCATGACCCGTTAAGCTATACTTTTGAGGATAAATCCGCTAATATGTTTCGGGTTTCACCGGTTACTCTTCCTTAGCGAAAGATAAATTTTATTAGCATGCTCATTTTTCCAGTAATTTGATGTTTTTTTTTTTTTTTTTTTTTCAGTACAATATAAAATCTCCAATCACTGGCAATGATTTGTCGGAACCAGTTGCTTTTAACCTGATGTTTCCAACGGTCATCGGGCCAACTGGCGATTTTAAAGCCTACCTACGACCGGAAACTGCCCAAGGAATATTTGTCAATTTCAAACGTTTGCTGGAATTTAATCAGGTTATTTTTTTGGATGATTGCATTTGTTACACGAAGCATATTATAGTTTTTATGAGGTGAGCTAAAAAGTTGCGCAATTGGCAAATAACTGTTTGTCACTTGCCACGTGTTTCTAATATATCTAGCAATTCTGCCAAGGTACTTAAGAAAAGAAGCAGCAAAATAAGAGACTGGATCACCAGCTAACTGAGCATTAGACGATGCAGTTTCCACCACCGCGTGCAACTACGAGGAGGTCGATCAGTTGCGCCAGTGGTGCGAAAATGTGCACTGCTGAAGTCACAACTGCTTTAGGACGATTTGGCCAAAATAGATTCAAGTTTTGGTAAAGGATGTGATTTTTTTTCCATAGAATCACAGTTTCCAACTTAGGAAGGTTGAAGAATTAGGATGCTTGGCTTTTGCGAGAAATGTAGATTGGCTTTGGAGACTTTAATATGTTCCTTTGTGCATTTTTATGCGTTTTTTGCAGCTATGCAATGCGGAAAACACATATTGACGAGAGGTTGTCTGTGTGTGTGTGTGTGTGTGTCTGTGTCTGTATCTGTGTGTTTGTGTACGTGTCTGTGTGATTGTGTGTGTGTGTCTGCGTGTGCGCTGGGCCTCTACCGGTTTTTTTCATCTCGAGACCCACAAAAGCTACAGGGCTGAAACTTTAAGAACTTAATCTACATGCACGTACTGCCCCCCATCTCCAAAATGGGCTGACTTACCGGCGTGGTACCCACGTACG